CGTATGCAAAACAGACATATTTTGTGTTTTCTGCTAAAACAAACATTCCACTAACATTAGTCATTTTCTTTTACTTTTTTTTTCCTTTTTTCCCCCCAGAGAAGTAAGAGTGCAAAAGGACGTCATAGTCTTTTGTATTCATTCAGTCTTTTATTACTTTCATGTCACATTTCCTACATTTACTGATGTTGGCACTGGATGCTCAATTTGTGATGTACTTATTGTATAAAAACCTCAGTTTTGTGGTGGAAGTCCTTGAAATTGAGCGTTTGATGGTAGATTGAAATAAAGCACAGTTCTGTTCTTGAGACTAGATTTTAAGGAAAACTAGGGTTTTCCTTTATTGTAAGTGGCCCCCATTAACATCTGTGTTTTCTTGGAAGGAAAGAATAGCCATGTGAGTTAGGCAAATTGACACAGGAAGTCTTACTGCATTGTGATGATAAAAATGAAGCAACTTTTAGATTCACTTTTCAGTCATGAGCGCTTTGAAAATAAGTTATCGGTATATCCATTGCTGTTATTGATAATCAATATAAAGGTTTCTTTTTCAGAAGATGCACAGCTAGGTTGCCATTCTAGTTTTGTACAAGTTCACGTTAATTTTCATTGAAGGAATGAACAAATGCAAATCATCAACCTGGTACTTGCACGTGGAGGGAGATACGTGTTGACATAGTATTCAGCCAGTCCTAGTTTTCTGTATAGGTTGATCTTTTTTGATGTAAGTATATTGGAAGACTTCTAGTAACTAAAATAAGAATTCCCCTTGCATTTTGTGATGGCAAACAGCTGGCTTTCAAGATCTGCTGAAATTAGACATTCCTGTCTGTTGACTGCCCCGATACCCTAGTTCCTTTGTCAGTGATACTTCACAAGATTATGTTCTTGTGCTTTCTTCTTTTTTAGGATCACACCCTCCCTGTCATTTTACTTCTGGTTTTGGTTAGCATGATGTTTGGGTTTCGGTTTGTTTTTTGTTTTCGGGGTTTTTTTTGATACTATTGGTTTCATAGATTGTAGAAGTAAGAGTCAGAAAGACACTGCAAGGAGTCAGGTACTACTTTAAAAGTTACAACCTTGACAGCATTCTAAACTCTCGGAACAGTTTTCAAAATCACCTTTGCAAAATTTCTTTCTTGGGTAATTTTTATTAATGAGTACAACGTATGTGCGGGCAAAATGTTCCATCCTTGAATGGGTGACCACAGCAATTTCTCTTTCCAAGTGAGGCCAGGTAGTATGTTTAAGTGATGTTAGCCATACATTAGCATCAGCGCATTCTGTATTGGGGAAAAAAATAACTAGCCTTAAAACAAGATAAAACCACCTTGACTCTAAAGGACGGTCTCATTATGTAGCAGTGGTAACAAAAATGAATGCCACTGTTAAACCCTAGCATAAATCTCCAGTTTGTGCTGATCTTGGAGACCTTGAAATCCTATCCCATTTGTTATTTGAGGCCATAGCTGTTCAGAATCAGCTTTGTGCTTGCTTTGTAATTGCTCTTTATCAGGCAATTGCTTCCATTTCGTAACTGCAGAGTTGGTTCTACACGCTGGGTTTAAGCTTCCAAATGATCAGCAATTTGACATTTGACATTAAGTGGTTCACCTTTAGTGGGTAAGAGGAAAACCTACTAATTCCTGGTGTTTACAGCACTGATAGTGTGATACTGCTTCTCTCTGTCTAACTTGCATCTTCAACCACTGCTGTAAATTTTTTTCAAGTTTAAAAGCAACCTTCTAAAGCACACAAGCTTTCACTGAATTTCACTGAATTTCACACTTCTAAAGCACACGAGCTTTGATGCTATGTTTTGCACTGTGGGTAATCCTTTTATTTTAGTGCAACTCTTTGGTCCCTAAAATGACATGCAAGCCTCTGTTAAAACATGGGATCTCTAATCTTTGCCTTCCTTATTGTGATTTTTGTAGGGGTACAAGCCTGTCTGCAAAGTACAGTACGAGAACAAGAAGAGAAGTATGAAATCCAAGGTGGCCCACAAAGAGGCCGGCTCAACAGAGAACAGCTGGTGGGTTTTATTGCTTGAGACAGATTATCTTAATGACCTTTTGGTTCATACATTTTTGCCCTTTGCCACATGTGCAGGTGCAGTGGATGTAAAATTTTAATGCGGTCTTGTACAGAAATTGGATTATGCGCAAGGTGATCGAAAGAACTGGGAACACCCATAAAGCTGTCATCTTTCTCTATTAGTGGATAAGTTGCTTTAACCTTGTCAGAAGGCGTGCTGAACTAAATTCATGGAAGAAGTTGTATGGGACAGCAGGTGATGCTGGTTTGGTCTTCTCTGCTCAGCTTTAGAACCTTGTTGAAATTGCACGAAAGTTGAAAGAAAAATGATTTTATTACTGCTTGTTTCCATATAGAGGCACTTTTATATTTAACTGGGTTAGAATTCATGGAAGAAGTTGTATGGGACAGGAGGTGATGTTGGTTTGGTCTTCTCAGCTTTAGAACCTCGTTGAAATTGCACGGAAGTTGAAAGACAAATGATTTTATTACTGCTTGTTTCCTTATAGAGGCACTTTTATATTTAACTGGGTTAATTTCTGGTTGCTTTCTGGACTACGCTGGAGAAGTTCATTAAATGTACTGTAGCAGTAGCTGAACTAAATTCATGGAAGAAGTTGTATGGGACAGCAGGTGATGCTGGTTTGGTCTTCTCTGCTCAGCTTTAGAACCTTGTTGAAATTGCACGAAAGTTGAAAGAAAAATGATTTTATTACTGCTTGTTTCCATATAGAGGCACTTTTATATTTAACTGGGTTAATTTCTGGTTGCTTTCTGGGCTACGCTGGAGAAGTTCATTAAATGTATTGTAGCAGTAGCTGTAAATATTCCTAGCTCATAGTTAAAACCGTGTTGTGTTGGAAAATATTTAAATATAAGCAAGAATTTACCACGTAAGCAACTTTTCTTGGTTGCACGCTTATACTGAGGACCTTAAATGCTAAGTTACCGTTCTAGCTTCCAGTGTTACTTCAAATGGTATTTTTTTGTAGGCACAGATTCTTTCTTTCCACTTTTTTTTTCCTGTGTGCTCAGTTGCAAAGTCCTGTATTTACTCTTTTTTTTTTTTTTTTTTTCCCTTAAATTACTGTTCTAGCTTCCAGTGTTGGTTACTTCAAATTGTATTTTTTTGTAGGCACAAATTCTTCCTTTCCACTTTTTTTTTCCCCTGTGTGTTCAGTTGCAAAGTCCTGTATTTATACTTTTTTTTTTTTCCCCCTTCTACTTAGCTGCCAAAGTTGTTTGACGGATGCTACTTCTATTTTTTGGGATCTTTCAATCACCACCAGAAGAGTGATCTTGTAGAGTTGGTGAAAGCAGCAGGAGGACAAATTCTGGTTAGGCAGCCCAAACCAGACAGTGATGTGACGCAGACGGTCAACACGGTGGCTTACCACGCGGAATCCGCTTCTGACCAAAGGTTTTGCACTCAGTATGTAATCTATGATGGGTCTTCTAAATTCAAGCCAGAGAAAATTCGGCAGGGCAAAGTCTGGATGGCCCCCTCCAGCTGGCTTGTAGACTGTGCCATGTCTTTTCAGCTCCTGCCTGTAAAATGAACATCGGCGTCTCAAGAGCAAGGTTTTAAAACGTGGTGAATCTTGAGCAGTTGGAACACTCTGGTCTGAAGATATGATTTATGTTTTGCACTTAGGAATGCAGGAGAGCTTTGACCATTTAAATGAGGTACTAAGATCACTGATAGGCTGGACTAAATGAACTTATAATGGAGGAGAGAGATAAATATACTGCATTGAAAAATGTGCCTTAGGTTATTTAGTGTGCTTTATTTTTTGCGTTTAACTTAACTGTAATAATCACTGACATTTTGTAACTAAAATTTTGCAAAACAAAACCTTTTGCATTCTTGATGTAAACCAGCCCTTTCTGGGGGATAGAGCGTGACCCCATTTCTTTTGTGTTTAATATCCATTGACAAGGATCTATTATATGTGTCAAGATTTCCCAGCCAAGCCAGAATTTGTATTTTTTTAAAAAAAGGACTCTCTGGATTTGAACAGAGTCATTTGCCTCTATAGACATCTCTTCTGTCAGATAACGTGGTGTTTCTTATAACTTTTTACAACTGAATTTTGCAGGAAATTCTTGGCATGGGATAAGCCTTGTAGAAATCAGAATAGAACTGATGGCAGCCTGAATTCATTTGAGAGTAGTCAATTTTGAAAACGCTATCTTTAAAAATCTCGGTCTAAAATGAATTATTTGTAGCAAGAGTAATGCTTTATTCACTTCTGTCTTTTCATGCTTGTAAACATGTAACTCGAATTTGATTCTATTTTCTGAAGGTTTTTAAGCATCAGGATCCGTATTAAATTATAATAATATTTCTGTAAGTATGGGTGATTGCTATCATGGTTACTTCAACAAAAAAAATAATTTAATGATCTCAAAAGAATTATGCCTCACTTTGCACAAATGTACTTAAACTTAGCTGGCTACATTGGAGCTATATCTGATTCTTTCAAATTTGTTACAATATTTCTTATAACTAATCATAAGTTATTGTCAGAATCTTACTTCCTCACTCTGTGTTCTCACGTAATGTGTTGCATCTTTTCTGTTGCCTTAGTTTGTGAATTCCTAATTTTAAAATGGTGTCTCATAATAATATACAATGAGAATGAAGGTTGTGGGATAAAACAAAGTGTCCTTGTGTTTGCTTTTATATTGGTTGTAATAATTAAACTTTTGGTGCCGGTAAGTTTGGAGTATCTTATTGCATGAGCTTAGCTACAGAATGTGTGTGTAGATATGTATATGTATTTTTCTTTCCATACGTATCTCAACAGTAAATGGAAATGTTAAGTACTTTTTTGTGAACTTGATAGAGCTGTGAAGACAGCATAACCATCTGCGAGAGCAGCTCTGCACTGCAAGAGAGTCATTTTCTGTAACCATTGCCACTGGAGATCTTACGCCAATTTTCAGCACGCTCTATGGAACTCTACAGCTAGAACTATACACTTCAGGTATGTAACAGGTATAGTTTTCAATGGCATCTACTAGACTTCAGTAGCTGGAGTATCTTGATCTATCACTTCAGCTAGACTGAATCATTGCTCTTCACTAAATGCACTTCCCAAGTAGTTGCACGTCTGTGTGAGCGAGCAAAAATGCAAGGCTCATTAATAAATGGAACAATCCATGGGATGAATGTCTTTGGGGTTTTTGTGCAGATAAACGCTAGCAGCAAATAAGGTACTGAGTCGATACTGCGTGGACTTGGTCATTTATTTTAACAATTGTAGCACATTTTCACTTGGCATTTCATAGCACATCAATATACCTAATGCGGTATTCTTTGCAGAAGTAGCAGTGAATCTCTGCAAAATTCTTAAGAATGGAGCTTTTTTTGCTGTGTACCAGGAAGAAATTTGGCCCATCAGTAATCAGTTCTCTGTCCCAGAGGCAGCAGATACACAGATTTTTTTTTATATTTTTTTTTTCAAGCTTAGCAGCTTGAAAGAAACTCTGTTAGAAAATTGTCACCAATTTCTTAATTATTTTTTTTTAAGCTACGCCCTGAACTCTTCCTAAGGTCTTGTTCCTTTGATTCAAAGTCATGTTTTTAAAGCAGAGTTACTATCAAATTGCATTAAGAATCCCTCCATATCACACTGAAGTGTACTCAAGACTAAATCTGTCCCATCTCCTTCAGGTCTCCAGGATTTCAGAGTCTGGGTGTGATCAGCTTCTGCAGACTTGGGCACTTCAAGAGCCTCGCGACGCTGCAGTAAGAAGGCTTTGATGCCAGAATGGCAGTGGGTGTCCAACACTAACTGAAGCAGTAGGTAAGTACCCAAAAGCTAGAGGTCAGTGACACACAGACCCTGCTTAATTCACTCTTGCTAATCGTTAAAAGCAGGGGGATAGCACTTGATAAAAAGCAGCTTAAAACCAGCCTTGTAGTAAGGATAAATCAAGTCTCTTAATCCATTGGATGGATTTTGGCTCATGAAAGCAAGGTTATAGTGTCATGAGGCCTGTGGGAAAGGGTGTGTAGGGATCGTTTCTCACTGTCTCCTCTAGTCCAGAAACGGGTGCGTTAGAGGAGGCTGGAAATAGAAGAGGTATTTCATGCAGTGTGAGCAGACCTGTGGCACTGACAGCCACGGCCAGTTTTGGGGGCTGTATATTTTGGCATAGTGTGAAGCAGGGAGTAGTTGAGTTCATCAAAGAAAATCTTTTAAAGATTAGTAAAGAACCTTAGCTATAACATTAATTTATATTAGTTTTCTTTTGCTAAAACGCATATACTTCCAGGTAAGAGTCCAAGACATACCATCTGTATTATAGATGTTTTTATTATTCTTGTATTTAAACCTCAGAAATGCTGTGAATCTCAGAAAGGCTAATGATTGTCATGAAACTTCCCTTAAAATCTCTGTTTATCTCGTTATGAATTGGTTAATGTGGGACACCTGGTAACACTTTCAGTAGCAATGTCTGGAGTTCAGGCTGAGGTCTAAGGGAGAATATATGAAGCCTGGCCAGTTTTTTGCTTAGTTTGTTTTATGTGGGGTTTAGGGTTTGGTTTTTTTGTGAGTGTGTTTTATTGAAGTGAAAGATACTCAAGAGTATGGAGGTTGCTTCCTTGCATCACTGTCCTGCGTGGGTCCTGGGGAATACAGTCATAGAATAGGTCATATTTTTGGCTGTTTCTACCTCTATTTGGTTACTTGTTTTTAAACATCTCAGGCTTTTCTTATCCCTAAAATACCAGGAGTTCTTTTTGGACTTTTTTCCTCTGGCTATAAACTAAAACCTGTCCTCTGTTGCTGAACATTGAGGATTCATTTGTTATTTTGAGATACTCAGAATTCACTTTTGGAGGTGGAAGAAGTGGCCCAAAAAGAGAGCTTATCAGAGCGACTCAGGAGAGCTAGACATTACATTATTTCTGCAAGTGTTTTAAGGAAACAACAGGCAAATGAGTTATACCAAACAGTGGGGAGTACTTGTGGTCTCGAAGTAGAATTGACCTGTCTGGGAGGTGCTCAGGGTTTCAGAGTCCTCTTAGAATCATAGAATGGTTAGGGTTGGAAGGGACCTCAAAGATCATCTAGTTCCAAAAAGATGCTCAAAGATCATCTAGTTCTCTTCCTAATGAATAACCAGTGTGGGAGGGTCCCAAAGCCTTGCATCTCTAGTAACAAAGATGTCAGCAAGTCCTTGACCCAGCTGGCTTCTACGCAGCCTTTGTTAGGTTTGAAATAAAGCCCCTGTCTTCTGCTCTTATCATAAGTGTCTGAGCTGGGCTTGGACCTGACTAACTGTGAGTTATCTGTGATCAGCCTGGGCAAGGCTCACAGAAGGAGCAAGAGGGATTGAAGAGAAATAATTCAAGGAAAGGGAATCATAGAATGGTTCAGGTTGGAAGAAACCTTAAAGATCATCTGGTTCCATCCCCCCTGCCCTGGGCAGGGACACCTCCCACCAGACCAGGTTGCTCCAAGCCCCATCCAGCCTGGCCTTGAACCCCTCCAGGGATGGGACATCCACAGTTTCTCTGGGCAACCTGTTCCAGTGTCTCACCACCCTCATAGCAAAGAATTTCTTCCTGATATCTAATCTCAATCTCCCCTCTTCCAATTTAAAACCGTCCCCCCTTGTCCTGTCACTGCACTCCCTGACAAAGAGTCCCTCCCCAGCTCTCCTGGAGCTCCCTTCAGATATTGGAAGGCTGCTCTGAGGTCTCCCTGGAGCCTTCTCTTCTCCAGGCTGAACAACCCCAACTCTGTCAGCCTGTAATAATTCCAGGCAGAAAATTGAGGCTGTTTCTATTCCCTGCTCAGCTGCAGTGTCTTATTTCAGACTGAACTTAATCTGGAGCAGTTATTTTGTGCTGCAGTCTTCCAGCAGATCAGCACTTTGGCTAATGAAATGGTTGCAAATAATTCTGCTCAGGACAAAGATGTCTGTATGGAAGTCACAGAGAAAAAAAAGTACGTGTAGGGATCATCTGGTAGCCCTGCCTCTGCTTTCTGCTCCGCTTCCAGTTCATGTGGGCTGGCTTTCCTGTCAGGGTGGTAGAGGGAAGGGGAAAAATCAGTTTATAGCTGCCAGCGCTGCAGTACTGAGAGAGCTTCTGGGCAGGAGCTTCTGTTCTGGCCTGTCTTGTGGTTCAGCTGAACTGCCAGCAGAGTTTGGATAGTGGCATCTCAGGATCTTGTTGAGGACATCTATGAAACTTTGAAGACCAAAGCTTTTCTTTTTTCCTCCTTAAGCTATTTTGTACTTCAGTGCTGAAGGATCGCCTACTTTTGCTCTTGGAAATGGGATAAATTTGATGTTAGATTAATTGTTATTAACCAGTTTGGGCCCCATGTCTTATTTCTGATTTTCTCCCATACTTTACAAGAAAAAACAGTGTAACAGAAAGGTTTGTGCCTTTCTCTCTGACACAAAAGCAGACCGTGTTGTGTTGCAAAAGCCAACGAAGTAGACTTAAATATCAGTTTAAAAACTTCAGAAAGGGGGTTTTTGGACAGCCGGATAGTGTTGGCTCAGGAATGGACAGTAGCGTCTCGGATGGAACAAATGAAGATTCATCTGTTTTTAATAGCAGTGCAGCATGTTCTATCTTTTCAGACTTGTTTGATTTAAATTAACGGTAGTTTAACTAGTGTTAAATTGCCCTTAAAAGCAGAAGAACATTTTGTATGTAATCAGATGGGGGAAGGGGAGGAAGCTTCCCACCTTTCTTTTTTTTTTTTTTTTTTTTTTTGTCCCCTATGAAGAAGATGCATTTTCTGTGCTTCAATTTAATTCCTGGCGGGGGGTCTGGGCTGATGAAGCAGCAGAGAAACGTTGGCTCCTGCTGCGTGTGTGAGACACTGGTGTCATTCACCGAGTGGGGATGCTGAGATGGTGACAGGCGATGGGATGGCTGGGTTCGTTGTGCAGCGGGGGTTGTGGTGTCTGGCTCTGGTGGATGTTGGAAGGGTTGTGAGCTGTGCCGTGCCACGCTTAGCTGCGTTACCACGTCTGCCTTGGACATCCAAGTGTGTTTAAGAAGCAGAGAGGTTTCTTCCCTAATTTTGGGGATGTTAGTCGACTGTCGGCTGAATGTGAGCCAGCAGTGTGCCCAGGTAGCCAAGGAGGCCAACAGCATCCTGGCCTGTGTCAGGAACAGTGTGGTGAGTAGGCCTCCGGAGGTGATCGTCCCCCTGTACTTGGCACTGGTGAGGCCCCACCTCAAGTGCTGTGACCAATTTTGGGCCCCTCACCACAAAAAAAAGACATTGAGGGGCTGGAGCAGGTCCAGAGAAGGGCAACGAAGCTGGTGAGGGGCCTGGAGCACAAGTCTTGTGAGGAGAGGCTGAGGGAGCTGGGGGTGTTCGGCCTGGAGAAAAGGAGGCTGAGGGGAGGCCTTCTCGCTCTCTACAACTTTCTGAAAGGAGGCTGTAAGCTGGGGGGGGTTGGTCTCTTCTCCCAAATCACAGGTGACTGGACTAGAGGAAACGGCCTCAAGTTGCACCAGGGGAGGTTCAGGTTGGATATTAGGAAAAATTTTTTCACTGAAAGGGTTATCAGGGATTGGTATGGGCTGCCCAGGGAAGTGGTTGAGGCGCCATCCCTGGAGGTGTTCAAAAGACGGGTTGACATAGTGCTGGGGGACATGGTTTAGTGATGGGGTTTTTGTCAGTTAGGTTGATAGGTGGACTAGATGATCTTGAAGATGATCACCTAGATGATTCT